TTATTGCTAATATTTTTGTGCCTAATTACTCCCCACCCTGTGACTCCCTTGCGTCTTAGTGGCTGCAATGTCTTGCTTAGGGTGATACTGATTTAATATATATATATATATATATATATATATATATATATATATATATATATATATATATATATATATATGGGGAGAGAGAATAAAATATTGCGAAACAAACTTTTCTCAATGTTATTTATTTATTTATTTTTATTGTTTTTTTATTATTCCTATCTAGTTCAAATCGGCTTCTGATTTGGCTGGTTAGTTCGTAACTGCAATATTATTGGATATTTGCGTCACCCTTGGAACTAAGAAAATTATCATCATTACCGCTATCGTTTATCATCGCCATCGTTATCAAAACGACCCCAGTATCTACCACAATCTTAACCCCAGTACCTAAGAGCACCGCTAATCTTCCTTATCACAAAGTGTATCATTCTTTCTCAGACATATAAACCTAGACCGCTTTTGACATTATCGCTGTCATTCGATATCAGCGCTGTTATTATCAATACCAAAAACTATTACCCTCGCCGCCATTGCCAGACTGGAGATAACAGCCACTGCAACTAAAGCTGGTGACATTGTCACCAAGTTAAACACCCTTGATTACGTCATCAGAGGCAAAATGATAATTGTCAAGGGGCGACGTGTACAGCCAGGAGCATTCACTCTCTCTCATTTTGTAATCATGGTGTCATTTCCGGTTCTCATTTAAACAAGACTTAATTCTGCTTGTGTTTTCTCTTACAGACTCATTTTCATCTTTTTTTTTTCTCTTTTCTGATTCTCTTTTCTTTTTCTTCCTTGTTGGTTTTTCTCTTTCTTGCATTTCCAAACATTCCGTTCTCTCGATTTTCCCCTCCCATTAATCATTTCAGTAATTCTTCGGTCCCCAATTTCACTAACCCAAGAAGACCATTGTGCAACACAAACAGTTCTCTCCGATAAGCCCGCTTTCATTCATTTAGACAGGGTGATTGAAAAGTAACTCCCTATGTTATGTATAGTGGACTTTTCCGTCTAACTATAATTTTTACAAGATGGGAGAGTCCATCATACATAAAATAGGGAGTTACTTTTCAATCACCCTGTATTTCTTTACCGGGCTTTCACCACAACACGTATAAATCATTCTTTCTAACTCCTTTTCTTTCACTCGTAATTCTTTTTACCATTTACTAATTCCTCTCTCTCATACACATTATTCTTTTTCCCTCTCTTAATCATTATCTTTCTTTACCCGTCTCAGTACTTCTCAGACACAATGCTCCCCTTTCTCTCTCACTACCGCCCTTTCTTTTTAACTACCTATTTTCCTTATCTGTTTTGTTTTCTCTCTTCTACTCGCTGTTTCTTCTTGTCCATCTCACACACAGCACTCCCGCTTGCGTTCTCACTCCCACCCTTTCTTTTATGCGCTATTTTTCTTATCTTTTACTCCTGTTTTTCTCACTCACAAATTCCTTTTTGGTTCCTCTCTCACTTCTCTGTATTTCTATACCCGCCTCCTATTCTCTCTCAGGCATCTTTTGGTTTACCTCTCCCTCTTTTACTCTATCTCCCACTCCTTCTTCTCTCTTTCGTGTTATTCACTAATACTTTTTTTGCACATATATCCCTCCCTCCCTCTCTCTCTATCATATTATTTTCTTTTGGCATTGTTTTCTTTTTATTTTCTCGTTCATTTTTTACGTCTTTCCTTTCCTTCATTTTTTCAGTGATTTATTCTTTCTTTCTTTTACATTCTCGTTTCTTTCGTTTTCCTTGTTATGTGATCCACGTATTGGTTATTCCCTATTCTTTTATTTCTAAAATATTTCTCACATTTCTTCAGATTCTTTCATTTATCAGACATTCATAATAGCTTCCCTTTCTTCTTTCTTTGTCTTCATTTTTTTCTTTCAACATTCTTTCCTTCCTTCCATCCTTCATTCCATCCTTCCATTTTTCTTTCTTTCTTTCTTTCTTTCTTTCTTTCTTTCTTTCTTTTTTTCTTTATTTTCTTTATTTATTTAATTATTTCTCCATTCATTCCTTCCTTCTTTCTTTACTTTCTTTCTTTCCTCCTTCGCTTCGTTCTTTATTTTTCTTTCTTTCACCATTCCTTCCTTCCCCTCGTTTTTTATTTTTCTTTCTTTCTTTCTTTCTTTCTTTCTTTATTATTTTTCTTCATTTTTTTTTCTTTTTTCTTTCTCCCTTCCTTCCTTCTTTTCTTCCTTCCTTTCTTCTTGAATTATCACCCACGTTCTCTTTCCTTCGGAGCTCCTCTCCTTTTCATCTTTCTCATATTTCCTTCATTTTTTTTCTTGTTCTTTATTTCCTTTTTCTTTCTTTTATTCTTTTATTTTCTTCATTCCTTTCCTCTCTGACTTTCTTTCTTTGCCTATTCTTCAGTTTTTCCATTCCTTTGCTTTCTTTATCTATTTATTTCGGTGCTGTTGCCTGGTCAGAATTTAAGTCATATTTTGTTCCTATGTAATCTTTTATTTTTGCTTTTTCCTCATTTTCTCTTTCTTTCTTTATCTTCATCCTTACTTTATTTTTTGTTATTCTTTATTTTCCTTTCATTTTTTTTACGTTTACAAACAAATTTCGGTATTGAACCCTGAAAAAGGTTGCACGTACAACTGATATTTTCGTGACCATTTCAAAAAACTATATTGTGTTCTTACAAAATACTTTTTAAATTTAATATATATATATATATATATATATATATATATATATATATATATATATATATATATATATATATATATATATATATATATATATATATATATATGTGTGTGTGTGTGTGTGTGTATGTATGAATTTGTGTATTTAGGCAGCAATCTTTCTTTCATGAAATATGTTAACTGCTAACAAGAAATAGATTGTTGTATGTATATATTTATATAATGTTTTCATTTTCAAAAAACAAACAACACTCAATAATTTCAAAGTTAATATATTACAACCTTGAAAATGGCTAAATATATAGCCAAAAGCGTTCGGGAAGAAAGAACAATTTGACAGTTTTTATATATTTTATCTACGGAAAAGAAGAAAAATTATAATATCACATGAGAAATTGTATAAAACCAAAAATCAAAGAACCTTGTCTGTCATATTCATTCAAATTTATAGATAAATATATATATATATATATATATATATATATATATATATATATATATATATATATGTGTGTGTGTGTGTGTGTGTGCAAATATATAGAAAAATAGGAAAAGAACCATTAGGTTAATAATCCGAAGTTGTTTAGTATTTTTGTTTTTATTTTTAAAAACAGTGCTCGATACACAAGTAGAACCTATATTATAATATAATTAATTTAAAAAAATATGATTCCATCATTCAATAATAGAAATTAAATTAAATTAAAGTACCTAGTTCTGTTTCATCGCCAAGCGAATTTTGGAATAACTAATTTTGAAATTTACGGAGCTTTATAAGCATATACATACATAATTATGCTTACATAATTATACATGAGAGCTCTTATGGAGCGATGGAATCATATTTTAAAAAATAATAATTATAACGTATATATATATATATATATATATATATATATATATATATATATATATATATATAAAGTGAACATTGAAGTCAACACTTAGAGGCGATAGTCTGTTTCATGCTAGACGATTGCGTCTAGCATGAAACAGACTGTCGCCTCTAAGTGTTGACTTCAATGTTCACTTTTATATTTACACACGGGATAGCACGTACCACAGCGCTAAATACCTGTTTCAGCACAATTGGCCACAACACCAGTGGCACAACAAAAGTTGGTGGACAAAAGTTGAGACGATCAGAGACCAAAGTAGTTTCATGTTATATAAATGAGTTTCTCTCTTCCGAATGGATGTTCTTTCCTGTAGGCTACTAGCCTTGAGCGCGTATTACAATTTAAACTCATCCAGGCCTAAAGTTGAACTCGTACATACGAGCCATTACTAAAAATGCGTGGACAATAACCGTTTCATTTTACCGCTCAAGTAAGTAGCTGACTTCTCTTGCTATCCTCTACCTTCAGATCAGGCCGAGAATGGAGTACTGCTGTCATATATAGGTAGGAGACTCCCAGGCTTCACTTACCATTCTCCAAAAGCGCCTCCATATCCTGGTGGGTGACGAATTGTTTTCCACCCTACTACCCCATTCTTCACAGACGAGATGTCGTAAACCTTGCTCTGCTCTATTGCTATTACCATGTCAAGGGTTCAGATGAACAGCACTCCTTAGATCCACCAGTCCTAATCTTCACAACTAAGACCCACCGTGGTACGCATATTATAGAGAACTACCCTCATTCACCTTCATATTCCGTTGCTGAAATGCAAGCAGCTTCTTCCCATGAACCGCTGACTTGTGGAACCAACTACCAGGAGGATGATTTCTCGATCGCTACAACCTTAATCTGCTGAAGTCTAGGGTTAATTCTTGTCTTGCACGCATATCTGCATAAGTTGTGCCTGTTACACTGTAGCACTCTACCTCGAGTGGCTCTCGGAATTTACACAAGATCGACATCATTGCAAAGAAAATCTTTCCAAAACAACCAGAGTTTTTCACTCCCAAGGGTTTCCTAAAAAGATTTAGGGAACTATCACACTTAGTGGTCTAACCGCGTGCCTAGACAAACCATGTATTTCTACGTATCATATCTCGAGTCTGTTAACCAAATAAGTTACTTGAATTAATTATTATAGCTACATGTATCTATTGAGCGCTTTTTAGTAGATGTTCTGCTAGCCTCTAAATCACATTAAATTCTTATCATTTTTAAGTACATTTTCAGTTTTCATATGGCAAGTCAATTTTTGCTGTTTCCAATTAATTTCACAAAAGACAGATATTAACAAAAAAAACATTATTATTTTTTCCTTTGATTTCTGTTCTATATATTTCCTTCTGGGTCCCAACCATAGAACTAAAACAAAAAAATGACCCCCAAAACTAAGATCACACACATTTTACATAGATAAACATCTTCGTAATGAGTGAGCTGTACTTGTGAGTATTTGTATTTCTTTAAGGTCATGACTACCAGGAATCATTTCAGTGAGTCTATCGGAACCTTTGTCTAATCAATCTGTGGACTCCAAACACATCTACATCTGGAATTATTGCTGTCCCCATGTATTTAGATTTCCATTTCAAGATCCTTGTAATTTCATAGTTTTTGAAGATCTTCAAAGATGCATTACAATCTGCAGGGACTGCCTTGTCAAAAAGAAAGCACATTCTTTTCCTGTGGTCTTTGATCCTCGATGTCTAGGCGATTGGCTTTGATTGTTCTGTCACATTTTGGCTTTCATCGAAGATTACTTTGGGAGTTCATAGCGTTATATAAAGGTGCTTTATACATCTCAGATTGGTTGTCGAATATCGTGTTTTCACCAGCAAAGCCAACAGCAAAATTGTTGTCCGATTTCACTATATATATATATATATATATATATATATATATATATATATATATATGTATGTATATATATGAAGAAATATAGTCTTAAGGTGTGCTATATTTATGGGATAAAATGCTCAATTATCAGAGATTGATAGTGTGTAAATATAAGTCCACACAGGTGACAGTCTGTTTCTTGCTATGGCCTGACGATTGCAAATAGCATGAAACAGACTGTCGCCTCTAAGTGGTGACTTCTATGTTCACTTATATATATATATATATATATAATATTAATATGTAATATTATGTTCCTTTTTGAATATGTTCACTCTTTTTCACTTGTCATGCCCAGGGAAAAGGGAGTATATTCTAAGTCATTCTAGGACTGCTTAACATTTTTCTTTCCCTCTCTTACTCTCTTCTCCCGATCTCTCTCTTTCTCTCTGTCTCTGTCTTTCTCTTCCCCTTAAAAAACCTTATTTTGAAATCTCTGTCATCCCCTCTTATTTTGGAAACTATTTCCTTTTCTTTTTTTTCCTCTCTCTCTCTCTTCCACCCTTTTTTTTCTTGTGTCTGGATAAATTTAAGATCCATTTATTTATTTTTGTAAAATTTGTTGTCCGAAGAGACTGGCGCCTGATCCCATAAAATAATCTATTACCTATGGATTTCTAAGAACACCGCTTTCATTATTATTATTATTATTATTATTGTTATTATTATATAAATATATATATATATATATATATATATGTGTGTGTGTGTGTGTGTGTGTGTGTTTGCGCGCGCGTTTGTGTGTGTTTATTAGGGCAGGTTGACTTTGGAACCATGGTATCGCACTCAATTTGAAAGTTGGGGTTTGATATGATAAATAATGACACAAAATAATTTTTACCAAATCCTTTCTGTTCTTTTCTAGGAGATGAAGTTAAAGAATAAGTTTAGGTTCAAAATTAGGATATTGAAATTAAATTCCAGTGATTAGTGAAAGCCTTATAGCACAACCTTGCAAAATTGATGATTAAAATATATACGTCTATATCTCTGAGATGAGGTATTATGATTACTTGCATTATTTATATTATTCGAACAGTTATCTTCATCTTGATTGCCATATTCACAACGTTTCGGCCGTTGTACGCTCCTGCCTTATTTCTGGAATTTCGAACCGAACCCTTTATTTCGCCCCCCCCCGGGTAGATTGTTCTGCATCTATGTGGCATGCCTCTTCCAACACATGGCCCAGTGGATAAAGACATTGGTTAGATCCAGTGATTAAAACCAAAAAGTTGTGAGTTCAGTACCCGGCCATGGCACTGGTGAACCAAAAACTTTGAGAGTTGAGTTAAAGTGAAATAATTGAGACATCCGGAAGAGTTATGGCACGTAGAAATAGAACAATCTACCCCGGTGGACCAAATAAAGGGTTCGGTTTGAAATTCCAATCACCTGAAGTTCTAACCGGAATTGAACAACTGTCGAAACGTTTTGAATGTCTGTCACTGCAAATGAAGATGTGTCCTGAGGATGGTTAACAGTCCAGAAAAATAATAACTGATAAACATCCAATGGCACAAGTAAAAAATATTCATGTTTAATTGCTTTGAAATTGAAAATATGGCGATAAAGATAAAATGCATATTTTCAACAAGATCTAGTTAATAAAGCAACAGTCGACCGAAATACAGAAACCTGCATTTAAAAATTTGCTTCCAGAAAATATTCTTTTCTCAATGTGGAAGTCAGATGAACTGGAGGTGATGGAAGAAGTTATAAAAAAAATCGTGGTTTAATGGATAGCTGCTTGGATTGAGGAATCGGAGAGCCGAGTTTAAATTCCAGTCGAATCCATTACATTCACTTACATGCTAATACCCTTGGGAAATGTATAAATCCTCTTCTTCTCCCCACTCCCAGCTATGGATAAATAGCAGGACAGACCAGGTTCTATAGTTTTGGATGGCAACTGGTCTACCGCAGAAAGAATTGGCAGCACACTGCAGGAAAAAAATCTGCCTCGTCAGTCATGTATCGAAAAATACATTATCGCCTAAGCA